ATTGACTTATCTGCTATTATGGGTTGAATTGTATCCCTGCATAAAGGATACGTTGGAGCTCTAATCCCAGTACCTTGGAATATGACCTTATTTGGAACAAGGGTATTTACAGATGTAATCAAGTTAAAATGAGATCATTATGGTGGGCTTTAATATAATATGACTGGTGTCCTTATTAAAAGAAAGGAATGGGACTCAGAGACAGGCATGTACATGTGAAAACAAAGGCAGGATCTGAGCGACAGATCTATAAGCCAAGGAACACCAAAGATGGCCAACGAACCCCAGGAAGCTAGGGAACAGGCATAGAACAGATCTTCCCTCACTGCCCAAGGAGCTAACCCTGCAGACACCTTGAGTTTGGACTTCTAGCCTCTAGAAGTATATTTGTGTTTTTTAGGCTACCCAGTTTGTAGTACTTGGTTAGAGCATTCCTAACAGGCTCATACACTTGCTTATATGTCTGTTCCCCCAATTTCCTCCCTTCTCTGGAGCTTCCCCCCTCCCCAACTTGAGTCAGTTCTGGAGGAGAAAAAGTTAACTTTCTTTTTTTGATCCCTGATGCCTAGGGGTTAGTGCAGTCACTGTTACAATGATTGATCAAACTTTACATTCGATTTGGCCTCAAGGGAGGGTAGAAAAGGGATTAAAAGAGAGATCAGGTTTAGAAGAACAAACAGGAGCTGTCTGGAGAGGAAAATATGACAAGTAGTGAGGACCCCATCCCTGAGGGTGTGAACATAGGGATTGCTGAAGGAAACTGTGTTTAGGGCTGGTTCTAGGAGAATGCTGAGAAATACCTTTGTTGCTTGGAATCTCCCACAGATTGGCCTATTCAGTATTTTGGAATTGCAGTGAGACTGAACTTGGATTAGGGTCCCCTCGTGGAACTGTCAGAGGTTGTGTGGGAAAGGGAAATGTGTGATTTGAGCAAGGGCTTGGCAAAACACGCCAACTGTGCTCCACCAGATTAAGTTGTTGTCAGAGCTCAGTCTGCCCGTGAATTTGTCTGGAATCCAATCCCAGCAGTGCCATCTATGCTCAATTGTCCTTCCATCTAACCATTTACCCTCTGTCAACCCCCTCCTCTGGACACTCCCACTGCCTGTTAGGGTCCACCCATTGTCCAACTTGGATAAACTGAGCCCGAGGAGAGCTTGGAGAGCAAAGATGGGAGGTGGAGGGAGACCTTCCAACGTGCTGCCATTCAGGGCCAAAATGTGTCTGGAGAGTCCCCACCAAGCCTTCACACAGAAGGTGGAGAGGGCCTGTGGCTGAGCCAGAGCATATTGTGCCCCAGGCGTCTGATGGCTGCATAAGTAATATTGATGCCTTTTGTTTGGAAACTCTTTATGGAGGCTTCCCACTTCCCAACAGGCCATGCTCAATGCTGGGCCTCCCCCAAGCCACTTTGCCTTTTGCACGGTCCCGCGGCTAACTGTACTGGCAGATGAGGGTCCCTGAATGCTAATGAGGGGAACGGCTGGCATTCCTGAGGCACCCCGGCTACAGGAACCCCGCCTTTGTTGCTAAGGAGCTTTGGAACTGTAGCTGAAAGGCCCTTACAAGAGGGGGAAGCAAAGAGAGGGAGAGAAGAGAGGCGAGCATTTGTTTTCAGAGCTTCACAGTTCTCTGGCCAGCTCCAAAGCTGTCCAATTCTGATTCCAATTAGAATATCAAACCCTGTTATTGTTTCTCTTAATGATCCTGGGAAATTCCTCTAAAGAGTCAGCAAGCACTTAGCAAACTCTTTGGATGGCGTGATCTGTACAGTTGTACTTCTGCTTGTGTGACATACCACATCAAGAGTCCTTTATTCCAGTCCCCAGAGGGCGGTGATGAAGCTGGGACAACTAGGGGAGGGAAGAACGCTGCTGGGTTTCCCAAATGTTCATGTGGGGGGGGTCCATTCAACAGATGTTTTCCAGGTACCCACCTGGTGGTGATCTGGGCTCTGTGCTTGGGATAAATACGAGGAAGACCTGGGCCCTGGCTTGGAGCGACCTCCAGACTTGGTGGGAAAACAGACCACCCATGCTCAAGAGAACCTGGTGGGTCATTTGCTCTGTGACTTGATGTTGTGCTCTGGGTTCTCCTGACTCAGCTGCTTACTAGCTGTTAGTTCTTAGACAAATAGATTTACCACCCTGAACCTCGGTTTCTCATCTGTACAATGGGCACAACAATGCCAGCCTAGTTGGGTTACTATGAGGAATAAGGGCAGGTGAGAGAATGACCAGGAACATGGATGACATGGTCTCTGCCCTCTAGATGATCAGTTATTCAACTGTTGGCTTAGAAGATGTCTGTACCTGGAAAAAGCACTTAACAATTTGGGCCACTAAATGGAGTAAATGGAAATGCTGTACAGAAATAAAAGAGAAAGCCAGTTTTCCTTTTTAGAACATGTCTATGTGCCAGGCATAGTGCTATACAATTTGCATCATTATCTCCTATAATATGAATCACTCTATGAGATAAGTAGTGAATTGCTTCGGGTCACACATTTGGGAAAGAGTCTTCCCAAAGGGTGAGGTCCAGCCTTCTGTCATGTCTTCTGTGTTCTTTCCATCTTTATAGGTTGATGCTTCTGGGCAGCTGGGGCAAACAGAGTTGACACCAAGTCTCTCCAGGGCTTACTAGGTTAACTGACCACTGAAGGCAGACATTCCTTCAGAAAGGTTCGGCTAGAGAAAGCTCAAGGCCACAGATACCAGACCTCCTCTACCCAGTGTTTATTAGAAGTTCACAATGACACAGCCACAGGGAATACATGAAACACTACTGATCTGAGAAAGACAGAAAGGAAACAGCTTTTCTATAAGCAAACCATAGAGAAACCCTAGCACAGAGGTCATAACGGTACTCTGAAGCATAATGGCCTCATGAGTGTTCCTGTTTTTGTCCAGCGATTTGTGCAAATCTTCCAAGTGAACACACACACACACACACACACACACACACTCACACACACACACACACACTCACACACACACACACACACGCCTTGGAATAAAGCAGTGGAGGACTCAGGACAGGAAATGACCCAAGAGCAATGGGCACTGGTCTCTAGAAGGCAGATATATCTCAAAATTTGTTTTTGCTGCAGCAGTAGGCTTACTTCTCTATGCCAGCCGTTTCACACACATCCCTGTTCAAGCTTCCTGATGTTCAGCCGCTAAGGGAAGGGACATAAGAAAGGTCCATTTCTATGTGCAAGGGACTCTCCAAATGGCATGGCTTTCAGTGTTCGTAACACTCCTGCAAAAAATACAATAATTCCCATTTTACAGATGAATGAACTGAAGCTCAGGGAGATTAAACACTTGCCAAGACCACTACCTACCAGATGCCAGAGTTGGATTTGGCTGGTTTTAAATCCTGTTTGTTTTCTACTTCCTGTTGAAGGACAGTGGCAATGGTGGGTGACTGTGGATCCAGATCTGGCTGTGCTGCCCCCTTATAGAAGCATTCACTCATTGGGCTGTGTGCAGCTTGGGGGGGCACTTTTCATGTTGCACTCTGTGTCAATGGGGTCCCTCCAGGTGTGTGAGTTGGAAGCTGAAGCTGTCGATCATGAGCTCTACTAGATGTTGGACACAAAGAATCAGGCAAGAAAATCATTGCCCTCCAAGACCTTATGATTGAGTCTCAACTTCATGTTTAGGGCCTCCCTTTACCTAACACCCTCTCTGGCCCACTTCCACAGACAGATATAGGGTATAACAGGGCAGTCGTAGTAATCATGAGACCAGGGCTTTCGAGAGGTCCTATCCCTCTGGCCAGTTGTTAACAGGCACAACCCAACAGCTTTCTTACTCTTCACCCCTCCGAGCCTCTGTTTGTTCTTCTGAGAAATGGAGCTGTAAAAGCTGCCATGCTGAGCTGTCAGAATTTGGTGAAACAAAATATGTCAAGAGAATTTCCTGGCATATTGTAGCTGTCCAATGCATCTTGAATTGTTTGATCTATATTCTAATTTTCCTCATTTGGTATTTCGGTAGCATGATAAAGCCATGTGTGCCTGCTTACTTCTGTGACATAAAAGGCAGCTCTCAGGTCCGAGGGTTCTAGAATGTTAGAGACGTGGTCTGTCTGTCTCAAGAGACATTTTTTTTTTCTGGGCAGCTCAAGGATCATAAAAACTAAAACAGGGCAGACTAGGAAGTCCTTAAAGATGATTTATGTTAGTATATTCAAATTCTTTTGTTCTTAAGGTTTTAGCTATAAGATTTCATGACACCCCACTATATAAAATAGATGAGAGGAAATGTTCAGAGACCTTTCTATTTGCTTTTTCCCTTGGCCTAACTCCTTCATCCTACCTCCCACACAGATCTGAAGATCCGGATCCAGGTCCCTCAGCATCAATGATGGTCCTGAGAACACACTGGTCTCTGAAGTCCTGGGCCAGTGTTTCTTCAACTAGCTCAAGCCATCTGTGTGGTGTGAGTGTGACGTGCATGTACGTGTGTGTTGTGTGGGAGGTGCAAAGTTGGTGGGTGGGGGGATGTTAAGGGTTGACAAACTGTGGGAGTTGGTGAAAAGTTTTGTTTGATTTTCCTGGCAGAGGCATCAAAGAAGATGTTACCTACATCCAGAACCCTTTGTTCCAGGAATCCCGCCTCAAAACTTGTATCCGATACTCTGGGAAAACTTCCCTGGAGACAGTGTACCATCATCTAGTTTGTATTAGAGAATATATTGGACTTGTTCAGAAAACCTCACTTGGAATTCTCCTTCTACTACTTAATATTATGGTAGTATGTTGTTAATGCTTTTATTTTTCTTGTAATGTGGAAATTCTTCCTAGAATAATGGCCAGAGGAAAGGCTGACTTATTCACCCCAAAACAATGTATTTAGGCCTATGCTGTGACAGGTATTTGGGGGCATTGACAACATCTAGCATGTTTTTTACTATATGGAATTGCAAGGTTTACAAACACAGTTTAATCAGCAGTATAGAAAAAAATCATGTCCTATTAATAATAAGCTTTATTAGAATAGAAGGGAATTTTAAGAAATTGGGTTCTTGCCACCTTAGGAAAGAAAACCTGGTTTCCTTGAATGCCTTTGAGGTGCTTATGAGCAAGTGTCATAGCCAGAAACCAGGTCCAAGTCTGAAGCATCTGCAATAGCTCCATCGGCCTCAACTCTGACAGTGTCTCCACCACTACAGTTGGGGCTGGGGAGAAACACATGTCTGGGTAAAAAGGGATAAAAGAAACATCTGTTCTCACAATATGGGCTTGTTAAAGTTCCTTTAAGTACCGAAGCGCTGGCTCCAAGAGCATATTTTCTCCATCGTGGAATCTCCGCAAGGCTTGGTCGATTTTCCGAGGGCTCAGGGACAGGTTGTAAATGAGATTGTAGTTGTAAAGGAGGCGTTTGGCCCGTTCCTTCTCCAGGACTCCTGTGATTGGGTTGAGTGGGTGGGATGTTTTTAAACGAGGATGGAGATGATAAAAAGGAGAAAAATGTATTAGAATGACTTCTGAGTAAAAACAATATGCTAATGTTTTGAAACTTCAAGCTCCTTAAAAACCAAATGACATTCTAAAAATATATTTACAGTCCTGGCTATGCATCACTGATGTCAGGAGGAATTTGAGAGTGAATTTGGGGAGAGAGGATGGGGTCCAATCACATCGAAAGATAGATTCTAAAGCAATTTAAGCTTGTTCTGTGTAGCCATAAAACTTTAAAGGCCAATTTTGAAAAAGGTGAGGTGCCTGCTAAAAACAGTTCCTAAGCATTCTGGTTTACTTTTGTCTTATTGAAGGTTTCAAACATTTCTAAACATGCAGGTTTTAAGCAGCTCACTTTTATGCATTTCTGGAAATGTATTTTCTGTGACTCCCTCCAGCTTTCTGTGTGACATGAGTAAATCATCTGACTTCTCACGGCTGAGTCTAAATCTGTGTAAAAGCCATGGTAGTGCTTATCACAAGATACACTCTGGAACATCTCACTGTATTACTAATGCCAGTGTACTTTCCGCGTTAAGGTTAGCTAGATTCTGATGCTTGTGGGGAGAAGTTTAGGTGCAGAACACATCAATAACGTATTCATAAACCTCTAACTGTGAGCTCATATACACTAGATAACATGTTTGGGAATATAGAAGATTTAGAGAAGTGGTCTGTTGCCTCAGGAAGATCCCAACCAGTTGGTGTGATAAGACAGCTTTCTTAAATATGTTAAATAGATCGTTTTGTGAAGACCTATGCTACAGGTGTCAAGAAAAGTTTGTAAATGTTGCTTCTCTATTCTCCTGTACTTGTGCAGACTGTAATAATGATTGTGAAATTCTTTCTCAAAGAATCCAGAGGCAAAGCCCTGGTCATTTTGTAGAAAGCCACTACCAGTTGATTACCACTGGGGTCTAGTGGATACCTGCCCTGTCTGGACAGGCTTCCAATTATTGCCCATATTTAAATGTGCCAGGACTGCTGAGCATGATGCTCCCCTCTGAACTAGTAATAGGTAGTGGGCTACAGACAGGTAGGTTCCTAATGTGATTCATTCCATTCAGTTCTCTTCGGTCCTGTCCTGTCCTGTCCCACCTCATCCTATCCCATCCCATCCCTGTTTGTTTATTGTCCAATCTATTCAGGCTTGTTTACTGACTATGTCTCCCATTAGAATGTTGGTACTTTCCTCTGCAGAAAAATCCTTGAGTTTGCCAATTGGATCCCTGCGGTTCTCTGACCTGGGTGGCTACTCTTATTATGGTCTAGGATGGATGCCTCAAGATAGTTACTCATACTCTGCTTCTGGAAATATGTCTTGGGCTTTGGAGTAAATGTCTCACTGGGGAAGACACTTTAACTTGCTGAACCTCAGTTTCCTCTCAACTTTCAAACAGGAATAACCAACTTGTATGAAAATCAATAAAGTAATAATTGCTTAGCACAGTGCCCAGAGCTACTAAGCACTCATTAATGCAGATATTATTATAGGGTACTTATGAGAGTTAGATATATAATCATTATAATAGACATGATTAAAATATACAAACTTTACACTTAAATTAAAAGTTAAAAATAATGTTAAAAGAATACATCTATGGTATGTGTGGGGAAATTTTTTTACCTTCTTCAAGCTTTACCATGGGTAGAGGGTTCCTAGTGTCAAACAAAAGTCCATTAACTGAAATTTGTATCTAATTTGCTATCATTAGGGGAGGCCCAGGACAACTGCATAAAATCACCCTTACAATTCATCTTGGTGCTGGAAAGTCTATTCTTGTCCCACCAGAACCAAAATGAAGGAAATAATAACAATCTCTGAACATTCATTTCATTTAATAGTTTATGAAGAACTTCCAAATCTCATTTGATGCTTTCTCAAAATTGGGAGGTAGATTTTTATTATTATCAGTACTATCTGACAGATGAGGAAACAGGCTTGGAGAATATAAGTGGAGGGCTTCTAGGGCTCAGCAATTGGTGACATCTGAACCTGAATCTAAGTCTTCTGGTAAAAACCAAGAAACAAACCAACAAAGGATAAGCAAAACCTCCTGCTCTTTCTAGTGTTATGGGAGTTTGGTGAAGTGGGAAGTCCAGTAGAACTGGGTTTGAATTATGGCTTAACTTCCCACTGGCTGCTACTTTTTATCACTTTGAGCCAGGTTTCTTCTCTAAAAATAACATTAATCCCTTCAGCATGGGGTTGATGAGAGGCGCTAGTAGTGCACTGTATGTGATGTCCAGACCCCTGCAGGGAATGTCCTTGATGGCTCTCATTGCGTTCTGTCTCCCTGAACTCTGAAATATTCTCTAGCCTGTAGTTCACTGGGAAAATTCCGAATCTACCCAAACATTTATCCCAACCACTCTCTTCTTTCTTTCAAAAACATGACCAGTTATTCATCATCATTCCTTATTCTTTCTCCTCAAGGATATTTTCCTGACAACTTCCATTAGAGAATAAGCCCAGAGTAGGTTCCCAGAAACACTAATTTGATGATGGATGGTCTGCCTTCACCCTGGATGAAGAACGCCCTGGCCTACATATTTCTTCACACATAATAAAGAACAATGATTCATCAGTGGGCAAAAGAGGTATCATCTGCTCAGTGTCTAGAATGGGGCTGTGGTGGTTAGCTAAATACTGTGGCTAATAAACCAACAAAATGATCTCAGTTAATCCTCTTCCCTCATTAAAGATGGTTATAGATGTTCCCAGATCTGGCTGACACATTCCTTGGCTGGTGAGGAACTAATGAATTTCATAGAAACAGAGAAAACAGGCGTAAATAGTGAAGAGGCCATGAGAAAGGCATTTCAAATCTGCTGGAATCTGCCTCCAAAGTCAACAAAACTCCGTTTTTCCTCAGAACAGTTCAGCAGTATGAGAAAGGTCCCAGTCTTTGGAGAATCTCTTAGCAACTAAGTTCATGATCCATCATCCATCATCACAACTCAGCATTTGTTTCTTTAGAAATGTCTTCTCTGTACTGGATTTTTCTGTTTTGTTTAATTTTCATTTGCAATCCCAACATCACCCTCACAGTCTTGGTATGACTACCTGAAATTCATATTTCAGGAATTTTTTTTATCTCCTTTTCTCCAGTATCTTCCCTAAATTATCCACGCCAGCTTTCATTATGTTCTCTAGTTGGACCTTTGGTGGACACTGGGTAGAGAATAAGCCTCATCCTAGCCCTCAGGACTCATAATAGGGTCTCAACTTTACTGTCCAATGCAACATGGATCTGTAGTTCTGTCTTGCTCACTGTCTGCCCCTCCATACTCATTCTCCATTTCTAACCTTTGTAGAAGATAGTTTCAGCTCAGAATGCCCTACCCAGTTATCCAAAGTCTATCTCTCCTTAAGGCTCAGTTTAAGATCTCTCTTCCATGGAGTCCTCTCTCAGTACCCAGCTCACATTAGATGATGAGTTTGCTTTGATCTCTTCTCTTTATCCTTGGGACTCTTTAATTCCCACTTCTGTCTTCAATGATAACATTTTATTATATGCTGCCTTTACAAAAGGTGTTTTACCAGCACTGAACTAGTACCAGTTTCTGTCTTACCTAAAAGCTCCTTGAAGCCAGAGACCATGTCTCATCCTTTCTGGTTTCGCTGTTAGTCCAGCCTCTAGCACAGCGCTAGGCTCATAATGAATGTTTAATACGTGATCTTCTAATTCAGCTAGATGAATTTTTTTCTTAAAATTCTCACTTTTCCCTCTTTGGCATAGTTATTAGAAGTCCTTGGGTATGGTAGTTATACTTTATATGGTCTGGAATTAAGTTGCTTTGGAAGTTCAGAAAAAAATGAAACAAACACAGACTCAGATGATGAAAAGACAGGCATTGCTACTGTTTTATGATTATTTCTTGAAAGTACCAGTGTGTACACTATTTTTTTATTGAGATATAATTGCCATATAATATTGTGGATGGTTAAGGTGTACAATGTGATGATCTGATACACCTATACATTACAAAATGTTTACCACAATAAGCTTAGTTAACACATCCTTTACCTCATGCAATTACCATTTTGTTGTGGTGGTGGTGGAAGTGTGAACATTAAAGCTCTATTCTCACAGCAACTTTCAACTGTACAATACTGTCTTGCTAACTGGAATCACCATGCTGTAGGGTCAATCCCCATAACCTATAACTGAAAGTTTGTACCTTCAGACATCCCATTTCTCCTAGCGACTGCCATCCTACCTTCATTTCTGTGAGTTCCATGTTTCAGACCCCACATATAATATGCTAACTCTTCATGAACCACAGTATGTAATTAAGTACAACAGTTTCAGTTCATGTGCTTTTGTATCTGCTGCCTCTTTTCCATTCCCCAGGTCACACCTAGTTTTGGATTTCATCTTCTCCCTTGACATTACACTAGCCTCTTTTTTCCTTTTCCTGCTTTCAATTTCTTCTTCATTCTGCACACAGCCATATCACAGTTCTTTCTGAGCTGGAACTTCATCATACTACCCCCACTGCTTAGGAACTCTCGGCGCTACTCATTACCTTTGTGATAAATTCAGATTCTTTGGTCTGGCATCTAAGATCTTCCTAGATCTGGTCCCATCCTAAATTTCCACTTTTATCATTTAATATTTTCTTAATAACCTTTCTATTCTCTCCAAACTGAGCTCCTTGTATTGAGCTTCACACGTAACATTTTGCTTGGCTAACTTGTGTCTCTGCCAGCGAGGGCCCTCTGTTGCATTCCTCTGAATACAAACCACACTTTAACTTCAGCAATCAACTTCACATTACCGTCACCTTCACTCATCACCCACTGGGAAGGAATTCTCCTTTCTCTGAATGCCTACATAGCACAGTCTAATGGTATTAGTACCATCCATCTTGGATTTAGTTATTTATTTATGTACATGTATGCATTTATTTGTTTACTGGAAAAAAAATGTTGGACAGAATTGTGCAAGATCCTGGGAATAAAAGAAAGGAATATAGTCTACTAGTGCAGTAAAAAAAAATTTTTTAAATTAAAAAAAAATACAACACATCAAATATGATAATAGAGGCCAGATAAAAGTTGGCCTAGATCTGTCTCGGGTAATCGTGGGAATCTCAGAGGAGTAGAAATTGCGTTCCAATAAAAGGTGTTTAGGCATTAATCTGCCAGATAGACAAGTTGGAGAGTTGGCTGAGGTGGGGTAGATAGAGAGGCAAACAGCTCAGATGTAGGATTTAGGGTTTGAAAGGCATGGCTGCAAGAGAAAACAAGGCACATTTATTATGATAGGATTAGATACACTAAGAGCATAACAATTGAAGGAAAAGAGACTGGTCAGGTGGACAGGGTCCAGCTTTTGCCTTGCTAAGGAGTTTGGATTTCACCTAAGGAGACATGCTGAAGATTTCCATCAGACGAATTAAGAGGTGGGATTGTGGATTAGACTCAGGTAGTAGAATGGAGGAGGAGGCAAGACACAAAGTAAGTGCAGCCACCTGGTAGGAATTGGTATCTGACTCAGCTTGGGATTTCCTGATTGGGGTCTGCATTGTGCCAGGCATACTGTTTATATGCAGTCTATGTTTGTTACAGATTGTGAAAGAATTGAAAGAAAGGAAGTGTCCATTTTTAGACTAGAACGCAATGGAAAGTTATATCAGCTATAAGCATCATACTTCACCTGTATTACTCAGATCACACAAGTAGAGGGCATTTTCTAGCTTCCTGAACCTGTCGATCCATGTCTCACATTCTTCAGACTCATTGTTCCTCAATGGACTCACGAAAGGCTGGGAGACTGGCCTGATCTTCAAAGCACCTAGGGGATCTTTGGGGGCTGAAGTCTCAGCAGGAGGGTTTTCTGGCTGCAGTTTCTTTTCTGGAGTTTTCTACCAAAACAACACAAACATCTCACTGGCCACATGTTCACCACCCAGAACTCCTCCAGTCTCTTGGCTGAATATGAGGCCACACAACTAGAAAGATTTATTGCCAGGTCTGCTTTTGTAAAGCCAGGAGGATGAGTATCAAATTGTCAGTGCTGCATGACAGTATCTGCCAAGTCTTATGGATATAAAGTGCTATGTTGAGTGTTTCATTATTTTCTTTAAAGAGAAGCGTGAAAGCATGACTTTTATTCAGTTTGCATTCTGATTTCCACAAAGCAAAGTTTTTTGTAACTGGCTGAGACTTTTCATGATGTTTTCTGTTTTATTCTAGTGGGATCTGCAGGGAATGGGCTTCAGGCAATGCTTACAATTTCTTGGTAGGAAAACCTCTGGGTCATGAGCATGAAGTTCTTGACAAAGAAAGATTGAAACCTAGTGATATTATCTCAGGCTTGTGGGCTCATTATAAAAGACCATAAAGCACTTCTAGCTCTGTCTGTCCTGTTCATTTAACAAACACAGCTGGGGTCCAGAGTGTAAGTGACTTACTAAGATCATATGGTGAATGGTAGATACAAAAGTAGAAAGAGGGTGTAAAGGTCATGTCTCTCTCATCTTGGTATCCCAACCCTATGTCCCATACAAAATAGAGATGTTTTTAGCATAATGAGACAAATGAGTCCTAGCAGTGTCATGTAAGACATTCTGTCACCCACCATATAGAGACAAGGGGCATCTATTGTTTGATCTGCCCATCCCCCTTTCTAGGAACTGCCCCTCCTGTTGATCCACATGATTGTAGAGAGAACTGCCTTGTACAAGTACATAGTGCAGGACTCGTCATCTAATGCAAAATGAGCTAAAAAACACTTTCCAGTGATTTTGGAGCCATCTTCAAGAGAATAAAGACAGAGATAGAAAAACAGATCATTTTGTGTGAGAGGTAGGAACTGAAGCAAGTTCTCCACTCTGTGTACTCGAAATGAGAAAAAGCTGGTCTGCTGAGAAGAGACAGACATAGGCATATACAGAGAAAGAGAGAGAGAGCAACAGAGAAAGACTGATAGTGGATATGAAGCTGACATCAGAGAGAAGAGAAAATATATAGGAAGTCATAATGTGTTCAAGTCCCTGATTTCAGTTCACTGTTATGTTTCTATTTTAGGTAGCACAATATGCTTCTCTATTCTTCCAATAAATTAAATTGATAAGGTTGGTTCTGTTAATTGCAATCCAAAGAATCTTAACTAATTGATGACAGAATTGTATCTCTAATGCTTGTATACCATTTGTGCTTCCCCTAACTTCCAAATTCCTGATTTTCTCTAATTTTGTACCTTTGTCTCAAACTTCTCATAATAAGTTGTGTGAATCCCATAGCTCTAAAGAATAGTACTTGTAAGAAGGAACTAAGTTTTGAGTTTGTTAACAAACATAGATTAAGCTGCTGCTAGGGAATGTGAAGAATTGTTTTGTTTGAAGTAATAGGATGCTATATGAAATTGTACCCATATGGATGACCAGCAGCCAGTAAATTTTAAGAGATTAATATGAGAGAATTCTAATGTGAATTTTGGAAAAAGCTGGAATTTTTCAAAATGTTGTGATTCTTATACTTTACAGAGTTTTGAGCCTTTTTAGAAATCTGATGAAAGGTTTAGGTAATCCACCCACGTCAATGCACACTTGCATACAGCCTGGTGGATAATTTAGAGAGGTCAAAGAGGTCACTGGATCTGAAAAACTAATTTTAAATAATTTTATATTTCTTGAGATAGTTCAACACTCTATTTGACCACTAAACCCAGGGAAAGAGAGAATTTGTATGGACCTGAATTAGGTGCAACTAAGTATATAAATAAGTAAGTAACATACTCTACACTGTTTGGTCCCACTGTGTCAGGATGAATTCCAAGTTCCTTGCTTGGTACATGAGACCATTTTCTTATCTTCTTTTAATCCTATGTGTTCATTTTTCTCCAACCACATAAAACCAAAAAAAAAAAAATGAAGCTGTTTTGTGCCTTTATGCTTTATTTATCTGGTTCCCACTGTTGTAAAAGCCTTTCTTGTCACCTGTGCCTTGATTGGCTGGGCTCCTACTAATCCTTCAAGACCCAATTCATATTGCACTTCTTGTGGGAAGCTTTTCCCAGTAGCATAAGGCTGGGTGAGAGGCAACTGTTTGTAGCCCCTTTATCCATCACATCACTTATTATGGAATATGGTAGTTGTCTATTCAAATATGCCTCTCCTTTACCAGAGATCTGGAGATGGGGTTTGTGAGATAGTCATTTATGTATCTCTAACGTCTAGTTAGTGGTTGGCACTTAATTGGTTCTCAAGACCAACTGAATGTTTACTGAATGAATAAGTGAATGAATGAATGATTTTCTTTGGACAGTAGGAAAGTTGCTTCACCAAACCTTGGCTTCAATTCCTCTTTCTAAAAAGTGGGACAATGAATGCTGCTTATACAGTAATGTGAGAAGAATCAATTATTGCAGAGATGCAGCAAAATCCTCAAACAAGAGGCAAAATAAAAGAGCAAAGTGTATTTTTTATGATCTTATTCACAACAGACTTAACACTCAAGAAGAAAAGCATTTGCTGTTGTTTCTTGCATGGCAAGAGGCTTGCCAAAATGGATACTATTTTCTAAAATATTTCAAAGTGTGAAGTGTATGAAGAGGCCTCCCGTCATTTTAAGATGAATTATGTTCTAATCCGGGCATTTGAAAAACAACAACAACTGAAAAATTCAGGCTGTTTTTCAATTCTGTCTGCATCTTCTCCTGGCTGAGTGCTGGGAATACTAAAAGGGATTTTAACTGCTTGCCAGACTTTTTTATTTTTTAAATCCAAGAGGCCATTACATTTAAAAATGTGATGTCTGGGGAAAAGGTCACCCTCAGTTTCTGGAAGCTGGATTTAAGATGTTAAATAGGTCTCATAACCATCCTTTATTTTGATGGCACTTGGATGGTTGGTCACAGGCTTGGGAAGGACATCTATACACATGCTACGAGTCTGATTTCTTGGGGCAGATGGCAAGTGGTGGTGAGAGGTCTCTGCATGCCCACCACCTAGGCAGGAACCAGCCCACATGTCTGAGGTCCTTCTGTCTCCCTTCTCTGCCAGAGATGAGTCTCAGAGTCAAAGACAGTCTGACACCAAGAAACTGAGGGGAAATAACAAACTCAGAGGGAGGGCCCCAAGCACCATGACAGAACAGACAGCAAAGGATTGGTGCGGCCCTTCCTCAGACGCTCTCCCGACATGCCTACCGTGTGTCCGGTTTTGCCTTGACATGTCTCAAGAACTTCAGGCTGCACTGGAGTCACAGAGGTTTCCTCTCCCTTCTTTCCTGGACAAGAAAGAAAACACGGAAGAGTTTAGTTTGGTCTCTTCATTCATTTTAACACACACACAGATACCCCCAGGCCAAGGAGATGTGAGGCCCTGTTGTGTGGTTGGTGCTGTCCTGGGTGATGGGATATGCTGGTGGAGAAGAAAGATCTGGTTTCTGCCTGAGGGAGCTCATAAGGGGGAGGTAGATGTTAAACAAGTATTCAACAGTTATTTAATCACATACTACCATAAACACCACAGCAACAAAAAAAGTAAAACTATTTAAACTCATTTTGGGGTGGGAGTGGGAGTGGTGCAGGATCAGAGAAAGCTGCTTGGAGGAACTGACACACTTAAAGGGAGGAACTGACACACTGAAGGAGGAATAGGAGTTCCTTGGCACAGGGGATGGAGCAGAGAGTTTCATATAAGCAAACGACAGCCTGTAGAACAGCCCTGAGCCATCAGGAGGGCTTTATACTTTGGGGAGTAGAAAGGAGCCTCTTTCCATGGTCCTGTCTCTTAACAAAGAAGCAGGCACTTCTGCCCCTCTTTCCACACAGGTGTGTCCCTGAAGGATCAGGTTAAACCTTTGTCTTCTCTTTCCTTTGTTGCTTTTAGTGGTCAGAGGCCCTGTATGGGACAGGGTTTAAACAGCATCTCTAACCCACCTGGCGGTGGGGGGAGGGGGGGTTCTACTGTCCAACTACTACTTCCTCAGGTTGTGGCCTTCATGAATAGAAGAAATTTTCTCAGGATGCAGGAAAAAACATGAAAACCTTCAGCTAAAATCCTCTAAGGCTTATTGTAGGTATCTTTCATTCATTCATGACTTCATTAGACTTGGTGTCTTACTTACTTATTTTACAAATCTGTGCAATGACCACACAGCACAGATTTCTGGGAGCTTCAGTTTAAATATTTAGTGCATAACTCAAATATGCTGTTAACAAATACATATTGTTTCAATTTCAATAAATATGAAAGAAAAAGTTGAGGGTGCAGTATAACATAGTGGTGGAGAATAGAGGCTCTGAAACCATATGCCTCGGGTTTGAGTTCTGTTGGGTAAATTACTTGTCCTCTTTGAGTCTCAGTTTCCACTTCTGTGAATTGGGGATAATGCACCTATAGGTTATGGTGAGGATTAAATGGACTATAAAATGTAAAGCAAATACCTGAGCAAGTGCTCAATAAATGTTAACTAGTAGTGTTGTCCATGTAAAGATGCTGATATAACTAAAGCCACATAAGAGATTTAAAGCCTTTTGTTAGACTTTTAACACTGCACCTGAGTCTTCTCCCTCAGTTTCTTGATAGAGAAGACAATATGATTTCATAATCTCTGAAGTTCCAGTATTAGAATAAGCATTTACTGCATGCTTTTTGACTAAATGGATGATCATGTACCTTAATTTAGAGTTTGGAAAATAAAGTCACTGAATATATAGTTCTGTTTCATTTCTTTTCAAGATCAGGGATCTTTCTCTGCATTTTTTTATCCCCCATACCTGACCCTGATCTATATAGTATAAAACCTAATAGATGCTCAATAAGGTTCATGATGGCAGTCTGTTAAGGCAGCCCATTCAAGGTAGATCTGATTTAATCTGCTGAAAATTTGGCATGAGAACCTATCATCATCTACTAGCATTGGCCCCTGCTTATTTCCACAATATGTGAAAGAGAAGCTTTTTATTTACTGCAGATGAAACAAGGTTCAAATTACTCTGAATCACAGAGTTTGAGAGTTAAAGGGATTCTAGAAGTAGTATATAGCATAAGGGCAAGATGTACTTTGGTGTCAGACTAATGCTAATCCTGATTCTTCCCTCTATCAAGTTACAAGTTTTCAGATTCAAATTTTGTCAGTTGTGAAAATGGAATGATATTAGCAGTTTGCATTAATATTGTGGAGATTAAAAAAATTACCTACAGGGAGGCGGAGCCAAGATGGCGGTGTGAGTAGGACAGTGGGAATCTCCTCCCAAAAACATATATATTTTTGAAAATACAACAAATACAACTAATCCTAAAAGAGAGACCAGAAGACACAGGACAACAGCCAGACTTCATCCACACGTGCAAGAGCCCAGTGCCTGGTGAAAGGGGTAAGATACAAGCCCTGGCCCGGCAGGACCCGAGCGCCCCTCACCCCAGCTCCCGGCGGGAGGAGAGTAGTTGGAGCGGGGAGGGAGAGGGAGCCCAGGACTGCTAAACACCCAGCCCTAGACATCCGCACCAGAGCACAGACACAGTGCATGCGTGGACGGCTGGAAACTAGGGAAACAGGGCAGCAAGACTTCTGAGCAGGTCCCAAAGCTGATGCCCCTGTGGCAAAGAAAAGTGAGTGCTTTTTGAAAGTCTTAAAGGGACAGGGATGCAACAGCTGGACGGAAACAACTCAGGTCACAGAACAGCAGCTGGAAATTCCACGGAAGCCAGGGAGCACTAACCCCCTGGGCAACAGCTCTGAAACCCCTCACAGAGGTAAACAGCCAAACAGCCCCCCGTCCATTACCCCTCCGGGACGCGGACATAGCAGAGAAGCAGCCTAAGGCAGGTCATGCCCTCAGCAAGGGACCTTCCTCCATACTGGCCCAATAAGACACAAAGACCCAGTCTGCACGCAATTGCCCAACACAAGCCACTAGAGGTCCCAGTTGTCCCAGTAAAGAAAGGCCAGTAGCAAGTGGAAAGTTTGGCTCTCCCAGCTGATAGTCAATAACACCTATCAACATGAAAAGGCAAAAAAATTTGATCCACACAAGACTAAGCCAGACAGCTTCGGCATCTGCTACATCTTCCCCTGAGAAGTAACCTGGGGAGATAGATGTAACCAGTCTTCCTGAAAAAGAATTCAAAACAAAAGTCATAACCATGCTGATGGACTTGCAGAGAAATATGCAAGAACTAAGGAAGGAGAATACAGAAATAAAACAAGCTCTGGAAGGACTTCAAAACACAATGGACAAGATGCAAGAGACCATTAATGGACTAGAAAA